GCATCGTGAAGGCATCATCGTCAATGCCTTTCATGACGTTCAGGATTTTGTCTGATTCAAACATGCTTTCATTGGATTTCTTGCACAAGTCCAGGACATCTGCAATGTAACTGGTGAATGATTCGCCGGCCTGCTGAGTGCGTTCGCGTAAGCTCTGCTCGGCTTGCAGTTTACGAACGGCAGGCCGGCCAAAAACGTTGGTGATAGCGGTCTTAAAATTGGACCAGGTTGCGAAATTGGATGCGTGCTTGTTATACCACATGCCGGCCACACACGCGAGGTAGAAAAACAGGTTGCCGAGTTTACCTGCCTCGGCCCAATGATTGGGGACGCTAACGCTTTCGTACATGGCGAGCAACTCCTCGACGTCAGTGCCATCCACGCCGGAGAAGATAGGAGGGTCGCGGATGCGGGGGACACTGGAACATGGCGCCGGCGCAGGAGGCATCGTTTGCTGAGCGGCGTCTTCGTGCATGGTAGAAGGCATGGTACGGGATCTATGCTCCAAGCGCATCGAATGCGAACCGAAGATGTTTGTAGGGCACAGCACTCTCCACCAAATTGTTAAGGCGTTTATTAGCCGGCACACAGCGAGCATACACAACGGCGACAGTAACGGCCAAGCACGGGCTCTCAGCACGAGTGGCATTATTTTTGGGTAGACCCACTAGAAGGCACCTGAGAGTTCGACCAATTTCAGTGTTCGGAAGCTTCTCTACAACACAAACGACAAGACATCTGGCCATACTCGCTGCCAAGTGTTGTACGAAGAAGAGTTTGCCCAATTAAGGGTTGCAGACGATAGCATTGAACGCGAAGTTCTTCGTGGCGTGCATTCTGTGACCTACAAGAGTGTTGTACCTAAGCCAGTTGATTAAGCCAGCACATCTACCAGCGCAACTGTGTCTTCTGAAAATACCAACCGCAGTACCTCTGAACTTCTTAATGACTCCACTTGTGAGACCACACGCCATGAACGAAGAAAGAAAAAAAGAAATCAATGAAACTAGCAGTCCTAGTCGTGGTGGCCGAATGAGGCATATGGAGTACTTTTTTTGAAAGAATGAAAAAAAACCAACAAAGAACGAGAAGCAAAAAAGCATGAAAGTCAAAAAAGAATAAAGAAACGCCATCTCGAACAAATTAAAGTACACAAGGAACATATTGGCGCGCTGAAAGAGCTAGCAGCAAAGGCAGACATATAAAACACAGCATACCCTGTACACAAATCTTCATATGTACACAAAATCTTCAATAAAACTTAGTTTTGGTATTATATCAACTTGTCTTTGGTTATTGCTCCCGTCACTTCCTATAGTTTCTGCATTAAAGCGGTTCTTTACAGTTCGCCTAGGCGGCGCAGCACACTTTCGCGGCCAGTCTGTGGCTGCCAGTTTTCGCCCAGCTCGACACGATCCTCTCTGATCTGTAGTAGTGCATCTTGTCTTATTTATTCTCTCTCTTCTTCAGTCAACGGGTCCTCCACACCAGTGTCACCACTGTCCAGGCATACTTTGTGGAGCACACAGCATGCTATTATAAACTGTGTGATTTTGTCCACTTCAGCAGATTCGGTGTACCAAAGTTAGCAAAACCTCTGCTTCAATAAAGCGAAAGCATTTTCAATCACCACTGTTGTAGACGAAAGGTGAAAATTGTAACTGCATTTATCTTCAGTCATGTTGTAATAATTTTCAAACGGTGTAAGAATATGTTCCCTGATGGTATATGCTGCATCTCCAAGGATGTGGTGTTTGTTCACTTGGCACAGCGTGGGCAAGTCTTGCTGAACACTTGATAGACTCAGTGCACGGGAATAATGTACCTTGCTTGGTGGGCCCTTGAAACATTTCTAAATTTTCCTTTGCTATCGCAGATGCCCTGCATTGTCATAGGCACCTCGTCGTGTCTGCTCATGTACGTAGACACTATCTTCTTCGCTGACCAGTGCAATGGAATGTAGTTGCCATCGATGCAACAAATTACAACTGGGAATAATGCAAGCTTAAATGAGAGCAAATAATTGCTAAGTCAGAGTAAAACGGTATGTTGTGCAAGTACACTACAGTTTGCAGCATTCAGTGTAACGCATTAGAAATACAAGTTATTTGGCCTGATCAGCTGAGCTATGTCATGGTGATTCTATTTTCTGGATGTAATTTTTCAAGAATAGGTATATTATATTTTCTAATATATTGTTTTAGTTTAGTGAACAAAAGAGTGCAAAAGAACGGTTTCAATCTCCATGAATAATTTACTATTTCCCGACAAAATGGGATAGCACACACAAATATAAATAGAGGTAACATCAAACTCACTTCCTGGAAGTCTCTGGCCAATGCGTCTTTGTCTAATCTGAAGTGTATGAGGTCTGGAGCAATCTTGCTGAAGGAGCCAAGTTACGGCGAACTGTCTGTACTCTGCCATGTGAAAGAGGACAGCAACCTCTCCTATTAAGGACTTCTTGACAGCATACCTAATAATATTGTAAAGATTATGGTAGTTATGTGTTGTAACAAGCAGATGTGACACCATAGAATTAAGATACCTGGTGTTATATTGTGGCAACTGAAACTAAAGTAGCTAAAACTGCATGCAGAAGTCGCTACACCAATGTACCCATATTTGTGAGTGCTCTGCACGGGCCTTAAGTCAGCCCTTTATGACCATTATTGTAGCTTTGGTTGCTTGGTGATGAGTGTGTCAATACGTGCACCAAGGTGCGGTGAAATGTCACAGTTTGAATGCTCTGTGTTTTTTTGTCACAAAAAAGCAGGGGAGTCTTGCCTCGAGTAATTTTTGTTCGGACTGGGCGAAGTTCTGCCTCAAGAATGTGACACCCTTTCCTAGCATTTTCGGAAGCACAACGACGAAAAACGCTGTTCTTGCAATGCAGTTTTATAAAACGATAAGAAAGGCACTGAGAAGCACGACTGCTTAAAAAATTCTGTTAACAAACCTTAAGGAGTGATTAGAAACTTCTTTCAGGGTGAAATTTCACACATCTGATCGTAATAGAGAAAGAAATTAAAAAAGCTTGACATCTATGTTGACAGTTGAACTACACTGGATGTCTTCACTGAACATTGCATGCAACGCGTGTAGCTTGTAGCTGACAGAAATTGTAACTTGCTCACCAATGAAATGAGAAAATGGGCTCCTCGGGCGTTTTCGTGGGCACACCGCCCTGATGCCTGTCTGACTGGTAAAATACCGATGCCTCAAACTATTTGGTGAGCTCGTAACACGCTGAACGAGTGAGGCGGAAGTTGCTGTGAAACTGTAAATGCAGATAACATTTTAACATTACGCGCTGTCATGTTTGCCATGCAGCCCGACCTTACCTGTTTATGGGAATAGTTGCTGACAACCTTCTGAACGTATCCTTAAATTTTGGGACATGACTGGGCTCGGCGAACAACTCGGTGGACTTGTTAGCATAAATTAGGCGATCATCGTCGTCGTCATGGCCTTCGTCTGAGCTGCTAGCGTCTAGGCATTCGTCTGCGAGCTGCTGTAACAACAGTATTGACGTTTCCTCCACCTTCAGTAGCCGCCTTCTTTTTGACATGGTGCCGGCTTAGTAGACGCGAACTTGACACACACACGCCACGTACAACACCAGCGATACCCGTAAGGCCCCCTTCCGAAATGCGTGCTCGTGCTGTCACCTGCCGGCAACCAAGAGCTTGTGTCACATCATCCATCAACCGGGCCGGATCACGCAACGCTCTCACTTCGAGTCAGAGTGGTCGGGAGCACTCTGAGTCAGAGGCTGACGCTCCGAAAAAACCAACCGTAGAGAGCGCAAGTGCTCGAAATTCACCAACCGAAGGCGCGGCTGCTTTTCAGAGTGCTCCAGAGCGCTCTAAAACGCTCAATTCAATACGCCATGTAACTAGTGTGTCTCAATGCTCGGTCGTCCTCCGTAGCGGGGGTGCGCGCATCGAGTCACCGTGTTGCTACGTCTTGGTATAGTTAAGTGTTCATAAAAGCTTTTTCTTTAAATTTCTGCTAGGTGGTGTCCAGATCTCAGCAGCGCCCACTCACCGATTAGCTCACGCAGAATGTCACTAAACGTCGAATAAACTCTCCGAGCGGACAGAAGAGCAGTCGTTTTTCGACAACCTTGGTCTGCGAAGCAGGTCCGCCAATTTTTCGCTTCAATAAATTAAATTGTTATGTGTTGTTAAGTATTGTTGCAACTTTATTGGAAAAAAGAAGAAAACGAATTGTGAGCACGAGTGGAGAGCTCGTGACTGGGTGGTGCCGAACGGACGTTTGCCGTACACTGGACTCGTTTCTAGCACGCCTTAGCCATTAAAGCTTTGTTTTTCGCTCACTCTACCGGCGAACACATCTTTTCTTTTACATTTTATGGTGCCGAAACCTGGGAACAAACCAGGAACCTTTAGCTCACCCGTCCACCTCTTCGTTTCTTGGAGAAGAGGTGGACGGGTAGGGTTCGCCATCGTGATGGCGGCTCGTCCTTTTCTCCACAGATGCGCTTTGTTTGTGGAGTGCAGTTTTTAGCTGCCCTTGACTTTGCAGTACTGCCTACATCTTCATTATGTTTCAACTAGCCAGAGGCTTCTGTGAAGAGTCACGCTTTCTAAAGTGTACGAAACCCTCCCTTCTCCGGCTATGTGCGTGTCGGTGCCATAGTGCTCCCGTTTTTCTGCCAAGCGCTCAAGGGGTACATTTGTTGCTATAATGCTGCCTTCCCCAGAAAATTAATAAAATACCCTTTTTAGCGCCCTCCCAACATTCATCTATTTATCAATCATGCCAAAGTATGCCATACAACGATTCATCAAAGTACACTGTCGAGAGAGAGCAGTATTTTTTTTGTTTTTTTAAACGAAGGGCCCTGCATGTCGAGTCTGCAACATGCATCTAATCTTCACTGTCCGGCCACAGCGTCGCCACAAGTGGTGCCACATTCATTGCAGGCCTCGGTATTCACGCATGAAGAGGTCGAGAGTCCTCGTCGAGCATGCTCATTCACTGGGTCGGCGCCTGCTCCAGCGCCACACGCGGCAGTTGAAGGTGGCCATGGCGAGCGTCCAGGCCATGCATGGCAGCATGATGTTAGCCGCCTGCTCGTTGATGGGCGAGTAGAAGTAGGCCAGCAGCGCCACTGTGCCGCACAGCATATTCATGTCCACCATGGCCTGCGAGAAGGTTCGTTTAGCTGACGACACTGCGCGCGGAACACATCCTTTTTTCTCAGTGGGACCGCGTCTGATAAACAATTCCAGAAAGCCTACGCGAGCTTACACGTACATGATTTCACTGAAAACGCAGGAAAGTGTTCCAGTGGTTCGTGAATGCGACCCCAGTCTTCAGAGCTGTGGGTGCGACTTTCTGACAGTACTCCAGAAACGATTACTCTCTTGTAGAAGACAAACAACGGGGAGAAAGGTTACACGCAGCAGATGTAACAAAGACTTAAAAGGACCCTGCAAGAAGCCATGAAATGGATTTACTAAAGGAGCTCATTGCCTCACAAATTCACGATCGCAAAAATTTTAAATTGATCCAGTGTGAGCGGAGTTACAAATTTGTCGCAAGCTGCGATAGTGTTCCCTCTTCTCTCGTCTCGGCGAAAACACTGGAAGCTTAGCAGGGAGGTATGACACGTGGGATGAAAGAAAATATGTCACGCGCGCCTGAGCACCTTTTTTTTGCGTGGCTTTTCGGTGCGACGACACGCATGCTTTGACAAGTCATGTCCTTCCGTAGGACATTCAGTAACGATCGAGCGTGCCATGCTCAAAAAGCCGATGGCCGATTCTTGGCCTGTTACGCAGCGATTTTGACACGGTAGCGTCATTTGTAAAGAGAATGTAAATATTTTTTTGCTGATTTTGAGAATTTGTAGTAAATTACAGGCTGCGTGCTCCGATAAAATTTTCTCGCGCATTCTCCGGAGCCTCGATAACGATCGGCCGCGTTTTTTGACCCCTCAAGAAACGTGTTGCGGGGCCACATTAAAACGCCCCCACCCAATTGATTTAAATAGCTCTAAGCAGGCGTTCTTCATGCATCTTTAATTCACCATTTACCTTTGATGACTTATTTTGCGAAACAGTTTCATGCCGCCGACGCTCGCAAGGCTCAGGCCTAGGATATACCACTTGCTAAATAAAGCCGCTATATGCCTAGCAGTTCATATACTTCTGTTCAAGTTCAAGAAGGTGAGCACATTTATCGAAACACTATAATCGGCGACAAGCTAAGAATAAAAAAATTGGCCCATTCCGCGTACAGTGGGGATCAATGTTATGCGAAGCGCGAACGAGGAAGGTTGATATGTCACTTTAAAATCAGCACAACGCTGCAAGGTGACGGACGTGGTACACATTAAACACAAGTAGACATGTTATGCGCACTCACGTATCTAGATAGGATGCAGGTATACAAGTTGTTTATAGTCGCGCAATGACGACACCACTAACGTTTGCAATACCAGCACCAGCAAAGGTAGCATGCCAATTATGGTGTACAGAACTTCCATGTCATGATTATCTTGTTTGCACCTGGAACTTGCGTTCGTCGTCTATTCGCGCCACGTAATACCAAATTTGGTATATGTGAAGCTAGCGAATTGGCCGCCAGCGCGCTATGAGCGCAACATGGCGCCATGTTTTGCATAGCACACATGTCATTATCATGTTTGGACGTGTCATTCACTTTCGTTGGCTATTCACGTCACGTGATACCAAATTTACTGTATATGAAGCTAGCGAAACGGCCGCGAACGCAGCATGAGCGTGGCGTGTAGTCCTGTGCCTATATGACATGCATTTCATGATTATCTTGTTCGGACGTGGCATTTACCTTCATCATTCATTTGCGTCCCATAATACCGAATTCGGTAAATGTGAAGCTTCCGAAACGACCACGAGTGGATCATGAGCCTGGCATGTAGTGATATTCTTAGATGACGCACATGTCATAATTATCGTGTTTGCACTAGTCATATACCACAGTCATTCATTCACGTCACGTAATACTAAATTTGGCATATGTGAAGCTGGCAAAATTGCCGCGAACGCATGATGAGCGTGGCGTGTAGTCTTGTACTTACATGATACGCATGTCATGATTTCTACGTTAGGGCCTGTTTTTATGTTCACCATGCAGTCTTGTTATAAAATATCAGTTTTACAATGTGTCATGTGAACAAAATGATTCCAAGAGCAGCAAGACCATGACATGTAAAACATGACATACATGTCATAATTTTTATGTTATGACTAGTCTTTTATGCCTGTCATACAGTCGTAATATGCTATACCAATAATGGTACAGATTGCAATATGAAAAAGGCCAGGAGAGCTCTAAGTCATAGGCGGCTAGACAGACAGACAGACAGACAGACAGACAGACAGACAGACAGACAGACAGACAGACAGACAGACAGACAGACAGACAGACAGACAGACAGACAGACAGATCAATAGATAAATTAGAAAGATAGATAGATAGATAGATAGATAGATAGACAAACAGACAGACAGATAGATGGATAGATACATAGATACATAGATAGATAGCTAGATAGCTAGATAGATATATACATAGATACATAGATAGATAGATAGATAGCTAGATAGATATATACATAGATAGATAGATACACAAATAGATGGATAGATAGATAGATGGATAGATAGATAGATAGATAGATAGATAGATGCGAAAAGTGCTTGCAGTACGCAAAAGAATGCTTCGCAATTCAAAGTAAAGTGCAGCGCTGCTCTTTGCTTTATGCACGACCAACTGCGGCCACTCTTTATTATGACTCGACAAACCTATATGGAAAGATGCCTGCGACGTCACACACCTTCCCATAGGGACGAAAGGTTCCTCGTGGTTCAGTGCTTTCTGCGCGAGGAGCTCTCACAGCCGACACTATACTACTTCGGTTAGATTCGGAAGTGACACCATTTCAGTGGCACTACCGTATTGCCTACGAGAAGGCAATATACATTGCTTTTATTTCAGAGGCTGCGAGGTTGAAAGCGGCCGCCGCAGCGAGTGCTCGCAGCCTACACTGTTTGGTGGAGCGGAGGAGGAGAGAACAGAATAGGACCGGGAATCAGCTCTTTGGCTCACGTGGTGGCTATCTAGTCGAGGAGGCATTCGACGAACCAATCAAACGTTCAACATGGCGTCGTTCGTGACAAGACCTCGAGGCGTCCGTTCTGTAGTCCTATGGTGTTTTTTTTTTCGTCCAGAAGAAGCTATGCCCTACTGTTATCTACATGTTTTGCATCATGCTTACTGATCGTCATTCGATGCAGAAAGTGATTGTGATTGTGCAGCGTCTGAAGTTCACCAAAGCGGTGGCGCGTTCTATTCTGAGGGTGGCATGAAATGGCGTGTTTTGTTTTTAAGCGGAGCATTTCTTAGTTGCACAATATCGGGATTTGGCGTCAGCACCGTCCACACCTCCAATGCACATGCTCACTCCTCGCGTCTCGGGCTGCATTCTCACGTCTCGCGCTGGCCTAGGCAGATACCTGCAAAGCTTTCGCTCCAGGAGGCCTCAAAGAATGAGACAACACTGAGCATTCAGCAAGCCGAGCATGTGCAGTGGAGCGTGAACCTCTCTCCTGTATTGCTTTCTCTAGAAAGCGGGAGGCGTGTATATGAGCGGCAGAGCGTTCGTTTGGAGTTCACAATGTGTGTTTACTTGCCTTTCGCATGACTTGACGCTTTGCTTGACTCGAGTAGATGCGATGGAAGCAAAAATAGATTCAAGCAGTAAGGGGGCACAACCCAACATCAGCTTGCCACCACTCATTGAAGGCAACGCTTCTCCTTCATTATATGAGTAAGAATAATAAAGATGAAGTAGCAATTAGGCATTCCCGAACCATGCGCAATTACGCAACACTCACACTGTACCCACACCACTCTGCGACGCATTTCGGGAGGAAACGTTCTAGGCCCGTGTGCTCAGATATGGGTGCACGTTAAAGAAACGCAGGTGGTCGAAATTTCCGGAGCCCTTCACTACAGCATCTCTCATAATTATATGGAGGTTTCAAGACGTTAAACCCCACATATCAATCAATCAGCGACGCATTTACGCGGGTTCTCCCCGTGGGAAGGTGTGGGCGGCTTCGTTCTGTCACTCGGACGCACCAAGCGCATCGCCTGAGGGTCACCACACTCGACGACTGGCATCGGGTTCAGTGAAGTATGGCCTCCGCGATTGTGGGCACGTGGAGGGCGTGCGGAATCTTGGAGGCAATGATTGAAGTTCCGTAATGTACAAATCAGTATGTCCAAGCACATACGTTTGAAACCCGCAGAGAGGTACATACCTTGCCGCCTGCAAAGACCATGATCAGCGTTGCCACAGATGCACGCGCGTGTGTGTGCTACTTCGAGGTCGCAATGTCAGAATCTTCGTGATGTTTTGTGATATGCGCGGTGCTTGGTGATCTGTTGTGATATGTAGGTGCGGACGTAGCTAGAGACAAAGGAAGCGATCAACATCCCCTGTCAGCGTGGCACCGAGCGAAAGTAAACAAACAGGGTGTGGAGACGATGCAGTGACTTGTGCTTCATAAGCGCATTTAGGTCATCTGAAGAATGTGTGATTTTGTGACGTCTTTCAATTAAGGCAGTTGCGTAATCCTGAATTGAGTTTAACCAGGCCAGAGGGATGTAAGAAGCGCCCGTTGCATAAGTCTTTGTCTCACGCTGGATGCACGAACGCCGTGAATGAAGAACGCCTTTCGAGGTAATCGTCTGCAAACCGCGAAATGGTGTGCGCTCGGTAATATCTCTGTGACAAAAAACGTTCGATTGCATCGATCCTGATCGTTAATAGAGCAGCGCTGCTAACAACACTTTTATTGTGATAGCAGATATGTGGACAGTTGACTGCCAGCTCCACTTCTTTTATCACGAGCCCATGCCCAGCAATGTGGGACATCTTTAGTGCAGCAAAGCTGACCCCAAGGGGAAGCGCTTGGTGTAACGTTGGTGCGAGCATACTTCAAAAAAGGATTACTGAGCAATGCTTGATTTCCCGCTAATTGCGCTTCAGGCACTTGATACTCACAATGTCCTCACGCTGTAAACGCGATTACTTTTAATTGACCGGCTGGAGTTTTTCCCGAGACACTTATGTGTATCATTTCAAAATGTA